TGATGGTCACTGCCAGTCTCAGTGGTACAGAATATGGAGAAGATGGTTTTCAAGACTTTCAGGGTAAGCACAGATGAATCTAAGGGTCATATTGCAAGCATCCACAGTTCCTGAGTCACAGGATATGAAGATGACCTTCACAGGTCTCAGGAGGAATGTAGGACATGCTTGAAAGTGTTGCACCAGCAAAAGGTTCCAACACCACAGGTTCAGATAGGGTCTATTTCAAATATGGCTGGGTGACCAAAGGTAGTGCCACTATTGTGACACCAGTGAACTAGATGCAAGGCTTTGGAACACTGAGGGGTTCTTCCCTAGATCATGTGAGATATTGTTGCATGGCTAGCTATGGTACCTAGAAAATACCTTGTCTATGTCTCAGAGGACAACCATAAATGGTTTCAGAGCTTTGGGCACTAGTGTCTGTGGTCTTAAGTCTGTGGACTATGGAAATGTTCCCTAAGTCATCTGGAGCAGTGCAGGTAATCTTGGGGCTGTAGCACAGGAACCCAAACCCCCTGAGGTATAAGACATGGGGCAGAACTTCACTAGGCCCCATGGATTGAGCACAGATGCTAAGGCTTGTGGATTTTGTTATATGTTGTCCCTAGGTCTCCGTCTTAGTTACTTTTCTATCATTGCTGAGAGAAAATATCTAACACCCAAAGTTATAGGAGGAAGGGTTTATGTAGCTCATAGTTTATAGATGTTTCAGTCTATAATTCAGTCTGGGTTCAATGCAGGGTGGCACATAATGGAGGGGCAAGTGTTCATGGTAGCAGCAGACAGCAAAGCAACAAGAGAGGATAGGGACAAGCTTCTTTCTCTCCCATATATTGTACGCAGGTTACTCGCCCTAGGGTGAGTGTAGCACTCACACTCATAATCTCAGCATTGGACCATGAATCAATCACAAACTCTAGACTTAGCCACCTCTGAAAAGTCCACTGCACGAGGCTTTGGGGAAACATTGAGACACAAACCATAACAGTCTTCCTAGGGAGTTTGGTGAGACAAAATTTCTTTCATTGATACAGTCTTAGTGGTGATGAACACATGTAGACTCTTCCTCTAGTCCCCAGGAACAACTTTGAGTAAGTTATGCATATGTACCAACACTGAACAATGAATTTAATCATTATATATATCAAACATATACTCATAAACATAAAGTATTTAAAGGAAAATCTCGCTAGCAGCTACAGCCCTATGGCTATGAGATGATTACATGTTCCCTAGTTTCCACCAGTCAAGCACAGGAATTGGCAGGGGCTGGGGCTAATGATGACCACATTCCTAGAACTGTGATGTCCAGCAGGACTTCCCAGTTCCTATTATACCAGGATAGATGAAATCAGAACTTTAAGGCAGTTTCCGCTGTCCCATAATTGTGGGGTGCAGAGGAGACCTCCCATCCTCTAGATCATGACTGGGAAGTGCTGGTATCAGGGAGCCTTGCAGCTGCATTCCTGGAGCCTCAGAGCTCAGGCAGGACTACCTGATGTACAATGGGAATCTTGCTGCAGCCTCTGTGGCATGGGGAAGAAACCTCTACTAGATGGTTCTGGGAGGAGACAGGTGCTCGCTGGGGGCCAGGAGACACAGAGTTTGGCTGGCTTTGGATGCACAGGTGCAGGTGAACCCAAGATTTTGCAGTGGCGGCTAGAGTTCCCAAATTGTGGACTGGGGAGGACATTTTAAGGTCTAAATAAGTTAATGTCCAATTGCTTGCAACTGGTCCTGAGGAGCTGCTAAAGTCAAGGTTTTAAAATAAATCTGATCTCCTCATTCATAGGGGTGAAGTCTTCCCCTGTTAGAAGAACTTTCAGGTTTTCATACCTATTAAGAGATGGTGTTATCTGACCTTGAACATATGCTTTATTGGAAGTTTAATTTCCAGACAAGGTGTGCTTTCAAGCTAGTTTGCCCTGGAAAGAACCTTTGACACAGCATTTCTCAAAGGTTGGGTTTGTCTTCTCTTTGGAGGCAACTCTGCTGTGGGTCAGGGTAATAGGTAAAAAACATTTTAGCCAGTCGAATGAGTTCCTTTTTTTTAAACAAGTAATTTAACTCCTACAGAATGTCATTGAAATGAAACCAATTAATGAGATAACTGAAACTTTTTTTATTTTTTATTTTTTTATTTTTATTTATTTTTTATTTTTTAAATTATTTATTTATTACATTTATTTATTGTGTGTGTGTGTGGCCAGCTCAGCCCACGAGGGGGCGGGGCTGGCTGGCATGTGGTGCTGGGGGATCGAACCGCAGTCCCTGTGCTTTGACAAGCTTGTTTCAAGTAGGTGCTTTAGACCACTGAGCCATCTCTCCAGCCCCTTTTTTTATTTTTTAAAGAGTACAAAAAAATAATAAAAAGAAGAAAAAGAAACTACAGAATTTCACTAAACAAAATGATAGGAATTCAACAATGATTGTTATATTGTATATTGGTATGTTCGAATTGTTCAGATTACCAGATATAAGCATGTAAAATTGGTCAAAGTTATACAAAATTGAAAGAGAAAAAATCTTAAGCATTAACTGTTCTTTTCAATAGACCAGCAGAAAACAGAAATACAACTATTCAAGCTATCCTATGTATATACATACATATTTCTTCCCTTTCCTTTTTCTCCTTTCCCTCATCCTAGTTGTTTCTTCCCTTTCATACACTTACGTGCTATTTATACTTTTAAGAAATATCTGTTCAATTCAGTGGCCCATTTATTGAGTAGGATAAATGATGAATGGGCCATCTTCCTATTGGCAGGGACCTACATCATATTTTTTAATTGGGAACTATGAGGATTTATTAATTTGAAAGTTATCATAATTTTCATCAATCCCTCAGGCTTACTTGAATGGAAGAGATTTGATTGTAGCAGGTTTTCAAGCTTAACCAATGAAGTTCATAAACATGTGTCCTATTTGTATTTAAAACATATATGTATTGTGAGTTATCTAATAAATACATTGACCCCCTAATTTTTGACATCTTAAAACTTAAGCAATATAAGTTCATGTTCACAAGTTACAACACACATAGTACATAGTAAATCATCAGATATAGAAATATTTTGTGCATAAACATTTGTCACCAAACTATTAGTCTTGTGATTGTGGGATTGTACTATTTTTATTGTCTTTTTGTGTGCTGGCATGTGATCATGTATGTGTGTATGTATGTTCTACAGTCCTTGAAATGATAATTGTATTTCAAATTAAAGAATTTAGGTAACTGCTAACAATTCACCTGTCACTCATGAATCCAAAGAAAATGTAGATAGGAAGACATAGAGTCCAATTTTCCATCACTGTAAGACCTCTAGTAGGTGCTCTTTAAGACTCAGGAGTCAACCCTGTAGAGCTCATACATTTTTTTATACTTGCAGGATCTCTGAAAGACAGTCCTAACTATGGAAATTTCAAGTTCCCTGTAAACTTAAGATTCCAGTTCGTTTGTACTTGAGAATGAGAAGGTATGCTTTATTTCAAAAGCTACTGATTCATTGCTTTTAGCTGTGTGATTCCCAATTTGTTCTGTGTTAGTGTCCTCTGTACTTGTTATAGGTGGGCTTGGGTTCTGAGATTGCATTTTGCTCCTTCTCATTGTCATTTTGTGCAGCACTGTCTTCTGATCTTTGTTGTAGATCTTTGTTGCTGTTATAACCTTAGGACCTACTGAAGTTCAGGTGCAGCTCTACAAAGTTTGGATTTATCCAGCTGTGCCTGGCTTGGGTCTGGCTGCTGTGCTCAGCTCGTTCCTGCTGCTGCCCTTGGGGGTGAACCTGTTGTGCCCCTCTGGCAAGATGTTCTGTTCCTGGACTAGCTGGGTGGTTCTGTACCCTACACTCTCTGCGAGGATTGCAGCTGCAGGTTTTCACCCCAGGCCTGTATGCCAGGCCTGAGCTGAGTTTGGAGGGGACAAGGTGGAGTAGGGGGGAGAGGCAGCTCTCCCACACACTGACCGGGCCTGGACTAGGACTGGATCTGGGGGTTCCCGGAACACAACAGAAATTCCTACTCTGTGCGAGGGGTGTGGGCGGGTACTATGGAGTGATGGGGGGCATTCCAAGAGGGTGAAAGAGGGTATCACCCACGCTGCACATGGGCTGGGACCAGTAGGTCCCACCGGCGCAGGGTAGCCAGAAGCTCTCCCATACACTCACCAGGCCTAGGCTAGGACTGGGTCTGGGGGTTCCTGGAATGCGGCAGAAATTCCTACTGGGCAGGCGGGGTAAGGGGAGGTGCTGCGGAGCGGTAGAGGGCGTCCCGAGGGGGTGAAAGGTCTCACCCACGCTGCACCTGGGCTGGGACCAGTAGGTCCCGGAGGCGCAGGGTAGCCGGAAGCTCTCCCACACACTCTGAGAAGGTATGCTATAAACTTTAAAAACTATCATACAAGCCCGAAATAATGTTATTTTAGTACTGTCCACAGGATTGCTTTGTGAAGAATGCAAACACAAATTAGGCCACTATGATGAATACGTAACACATTAGAGAAATCAATCTAGTTATGATCCTTTAAAGCTTTGAATAAATACAAACAAGTTTGTGGGATTTTGGAAGAAAATTAGAAAGCTTGACACCACATGTTAACTGAGATAATCTATAGCTGATGAACTTAGAAGTCAGTCTTATTTGTTTTAACAATATCTTCAATAAAGATCAAGACAAGCCTTTATCTGAGCTACATTAAAACTCATTGTAGTAAACATAAAAAATAATTGTGAAAGGAAAATAAAAAAGAGAAAATTCAAATTAAAACAAGATTAGACGACCCTCTAAGTATGGTAGGATATGGGGAGGGGAGGGAGAGCGAATGTGCCAGAGCTGAGGGAGGAAATTCCTCGCTGGTACTAGGGAAAGGGGTGGAGCTATAGACTAATAGCTCTAGGAGAATAAAAGCCTGATGCCCCAGGCAGAAAGCAGCCTGAGCCTAGAGGTACAGAGGCAAAGAATAGGCTGAAATACTCAGAGCAGCAAAGACAACGTCCAGGATGTTTGGTCTGCTCTGGTCCCACCTGCCAATCGTCTGGCTGATGCTGAGTCAGTTTCTCAGAGAAGGCTCCCCTCAATGGGTGAATGATGAAAAGATTAAGATATGTGGTGATCAATTTGATGATTACGTTATTGTCTACTGTTTGGGATCTGAAAAGATAATATCCAAAATCCAGATGGACCAGTCAGAAGAATCTGAGTCACTCACAAGTAAGTGCCCTCTCATGCTGCCTTTCTATGCTTCTCATTTGTGGGCCTCTGGGTGAACACTGAGAACTCAGGCAGGTTGGCACAACCCCACTGGGGACTGTACTGCCTGAGGGTCCAGTTCCTACTCTCTGCTGTAGCTTGGGCATAAAATTTGAGCTTTTCCTTTGTAATTCACATGTATACAATGCATCTCGCTGGGAATCTCACAAGAGGAAGGTAAAAATGGGGCAAGAGAGGCACTTGGTTGGTTCCCTTCCTTCCTAGAATGCAGAATAACATAGTAGATGCGAGGCAGAAGTCAAAGAGGAGACACAGCCCCCAAGACCTGCCATAGGTAGAGCACACCCCTGGGTTCCTGCAGAAACCAGGGGCAATCACACAGCAGGCCAGCTGTTTCCAGAAACCCAGGGGTATCTCCACCGGACAGGAAAGGAAGCAGCTCAGTGGTGGATGAGTGACCATGCTTGCTTGTGCACCAATGAGCAAGGAGCAGCGTGCTGAGTCCATTGTTGAGGGCACGAAACAGGTGACAGGAGGGTTCTAAATTGAACGACTCTTCCTTGTCAAAAAGCTGCTTTGTGATATATGCTATAGAGAACTTCTCTTTCTTTTTTAAATGCAACCTAAGGGAAGAGCACTGCTCCTCAAGTCTTTGAATTAGGTGTTGTAGCTCAGTTGAGGAAAGGTAAGGACAAGAAAGGAAGGTGTCTGGATGACTAAAGAGAACACTGGAGGGGACCAAGTGCAGGGAAGTTTGCACTTCAGACCATCATAGCTGAAACCTGATTAATGTTTTCAAGTCTTTGAAGGTATTTTTTTTTTTTAAGTGTAATCTTAAAGAACCTTAAAGAACCAAGGACATCACAGTTCAAAAAGAGTTTTTAAACTTCTTTCAGTCAGAGTATTCCTATTTTAGAACTAACAATTTAGCATGTTAAATGTTAAAAAGCCAAGGTAAGTTACTGATCAGTTTTCTTTATTAAGTGACACAGGTTGTGTATTCATAATGCAGAACCACATTTTGTAAGTTATATGCAAATCCTACATTAAACCAATAACTTAACGCTCTGTAAAGTGATTTTTCATAGTAAATATATTTCCATTTTATGGGAACTGCAGCATGATTTCAAAGTTATTGTTTGCTTTAACAGTGTGACCAAAGCTTTAGTTTACTAGAAAATGAAGAAAGAATACAAGAAATTTTCCAATGGAAACTAAAGAGCATACTATATTATCATTTTGGTTTAAATTTCATCTTTTTTTAAGTAAATAAATCAAAATGATCATAAAGCCTGAAAAATGTTGATAAATTTAATAAGAAAAATGAAAAATACAGATATCAAAAGTTAATATCTGGTATAGATTATGGATATGCATGTAAATAGATCTGATAGATATATTAATATATGAATCTTTGTATTGGGAAATCTGAGATTATAAATTTCCTGCTGTAGGGCATGGCTTATTTAAATAAAAAGCTATCAATTAAAATAATGTCAAAGAAAGTCAAAGGTAAATATTTAGATGGTGATGGGAAGCGTTCACAGAGGAGATAGGTAAGAAATCATATAGACGGTGATATTGTAGCACCTCAGGCTGACCAGCTCTAAGTCATCTACATTGTTTATGTGTTAAGAAACTTGTGGGTTCTGCTGTTTTAACTATCTTGAGGCAAGGTGGTATTTTGGAGTACACAAAATTTTATAACTTTTCAGATTCTCTTTGACATGAATATTTTCCACCTTTTTTACTTTTTTTTTTCTTTTAAAACATAACAGAAACAGCACGATCTTCCATTGACAAAGATGCAGGAACCTTTGATATGGTGTCAGAATTCATGTCTAATGCACCAAGGGACTCAGTGTATGAAGGACAGCCACCATTATGGAAGGACCTTCTTGTCCAGCTGAAGAGAACTATATCTGATATTATCAAATTATGTTGTGAAGAAGGTTGTGATAAAAAAACTTTTCTTGAAGTATGCACGATGGAGGAGTGATTACGGACTTCTCACCTAACGAAGTATATTCTCTCATTTGTTCTACAATAAATCTTTTCATGGTTGTACTTTCTCTAAAAAAGTCTTTTTCTGCTGAAATTACATTGTCTTTCTTTATAATAGTATAGTTGTAGTAATTGTTCAATTTTGTTAACTTTATAATGCTATTAAAAACTTTATATCTTTAATACTGGTTTCTCTTAAGATTGTGTAAATCTTTCGCCTCTTTGATAATAACTTTTAAATACAAGATACATATATATAAAAGTGATTACATTTTTATGACCTTGTCAACACAGGCCATATGGATATAAAACTGTTAAAACTGAAATTTTCTTTTCTTTTCTTTTTTTTTGTTTTGGCAGAACCGGGAATTGAACTCAGGCCCTTGTGCTTGCCGGGCAAGCACTTATTCTACTGAGTTATCTCCCTGGCCCCCAAACTGGAATTTTCTACTTTCATTGAAGTGGGCTTTGGGGAGGGTCATACTGAAATATTATTTGAAAAAATTCTGAAGAAAAAATAAGTAAATTTGAATTTGGGGGCCTAAATGGACCAACAATTTTTCAAATAAGGTTGTTTCTATGCATCTAAGAAGGTCAATAAATGGCTTTAACTGATATAAGCATATAGGTTACTGAATAAATAACAATAATACGTCTTGGAATTAAATTTGGTAAAGAGAGGTATTCAACTTCACCTTTTTGCAATTTACAGAACATCTCTGTAAGCAAAATACATTGTAAATTACATGAATATTTATCATAATGGGAAATCAGCATGATATCGTCTTAAATTTTATCAATTCCTTCAATCTTTACACTCACATATTCTTAGCCAGCATTTATAGAGAAGGTACATTTTATTTTTTAAAGAGAGCACAAAGGAGTATTAAAACAAAAATTATAAATGATACATACCCTACTCTGACTTTGACACGCCTTCTACTACCCAAATGCTGTGATGACCCTTAGTTCTTCTCCTCTTTTATGCCTCTGACATTTCACTCATTTTTGCTAATATATTTTATATATTTATAAAAATTTTATTTTACTTTTTTAAATGTATTTAGTACAAGGTCTACAGGTCACTACGCAGATCGGACTCTTGGTGATCCTCCTGTTTTCAGCCTCCCAAGTGCTGAGATTATAGGCGCACGTCACTATGCGCAGTCTCAGTTGCCACCTCAGTGTGCCCTGGGGGCACAGCAGGCACAGCATGCTGGGGATCAAACCCTGGTCCCTGTGTCTGCCTAAGCAGATGCTTTAGTCTGCTGAGCTATCTGACCAACCCTTATAAAAATTTTAACATTACAAATTCTACAGCAATAACTGGGCAATGAACACAACTAAATTAGACATAAAATCTTTTTTAAAGGGTCTTTGGAAAATAACAAGATGGTGTTTTCTCAACTTTGCATCACACCAAAATCAATTGGGAAACTGAAAATACCAAAGCCTGGCTCCTAACTTGTTTCTGAATGTGATGATATGGACCTTGAGAGGTATTAAAGGCCCCCCTGTGATTCTTATGTATTACCACACTGAAGAAACCACTGGGCTAAGGAAAGAATTCAGGTTGCCAGTAGGGACATTTACAATTAGCACCAGTCATCCTACTGAGGAAGATTCCAGAATATATGTGACTGAGTTGTATTGCAATTAGTTTTTTCTAGTCACATAGTTTTTAAGGCTCATGGTAACATGACAATCTGAATGTCCATGTGAATCTACTAGAAAATACGTTTTTAAAGTCCTCCCTAATCATTCATAGGCAGATCTCAAGTCTCCCTCTTCCTATGGTAGGAAGAATGTATATCATTCAGTTTTGCATACTACAAAGAAATACTTAGACTGCTACCTTAGGGGAGAGCTATTTAGCTGACCATTTTGGAGATCCAAAGTACAAGATCAGGTAGCTCCTTGTTTTGATCTCTGGAGAATGTGGCACATGGCAGTACTGCACAACAGGCACTTGTATGGGAGCAAGCCAGAAAGAAAGCAGGATGAGCGCTGAGGCCTGCACTTTTCATAAGAACCTTCTCTAGAGAAAGCAAACTACCAAAAAGCAAACTACCAAAGGAATCACGTAAAAAATGTCTCATACCTTCTGTGACCTAGGGTCTCCCACTAGCCTCCATCTTCTAAAGGGTTCCACCACTTCCCAATAGCACCAAACTGTGGACCAACTCCTCACTTACAATGGGCTGTTGTGGACATATACTAAGTTCAAATTGTGGCAGAATGCGAAAGTAGGAGCAATAACTTACTCTAGTTTAACACTGTAACCACAGGTGTTAAAGAGGATAATGCAACTGAGAAGCTACACTGGGTGGCTTACAGCAAGAAAAATGGGTTTATTGTTCTAGATATTCAAAGTTGATATAGTGTTTGAGGGACATTTTTCTCCTTTTCCTAACTTCTGGTGCACACGTAGGATTCCTGTGATGCAGATGTAACTCTTTAGTACTGTCCCCTCTGACACATGGTATTCTGCTGTTCAGTGACATCGTGAATCCTATTGAACTCTTATACCAATCTACTGAGCATAAGTCTCCTCTACCCAGCTGGAGAGACCTCATTTTAACTACTTCTATCTGCAAAGACCTCATATCCATAAATGTTTCATTCTGTGAAACAAGTGTTTTACATTCTGAGTGTGTATTTAAGGACACAATTCAATCCATAACTGATCTTGAGGTGAAATCAAGACAGAGAGGCACAAGATGATTAAAAGAACACATTCATTAACTCTTCTAACTCCTACTAGCTGCAAAATAAAAAAAAAACAGAAAAAATAAAAAGAAAACACCATTGTATCCAAGACATACTATATCTCACTGTTTTGTCAACTATAGCTTTGTGGAAAGTTCTGAAATCAAGCAGTTGTATCCTTCAACTTTATTATCTCTGTCAAGACTCTAGGGCCGGTGCAATAGCTCTGTGGACTAAGTGCCTGCTTAGGCAAGCACAGGGACTGGGGTTTGATCCCTAGCACCACATGCTGAACTAGCCCCACCCCTGGGTGCACTGAACAGGTCACCAAGTCTGGGCATGGTGGCACAGTCCTGTAATCCCAGCACTGGGGAGGCTGAAAACAGGAGATTCATTATGAGTTCCAGCTGTGTAGTGAAACCCTGTACCAAATACATTAAAAATAAAAATTAAAAAAAGACTCTGGGCTTTTTGGGGAATCTTAATATTCCACATTCATTTTAGAAAAGTTTATCTGGTTTAAAACAACAACAACAACAACAAAAATAAACAATCATACTGCCTAAAATCTTGTGGGATTTTGATAAAAATGACATTGACAGTATAGACTTCTCTGAATAGCATTCATATCTTAATATTAAGTCTGCCAGTTCAGAAAACTGCATGAGCATGGAAGAAAGTTTCTCTCTCTCTCTCTCTCTCTCTCTCTCTCTCTCTCTCT